AGGCAATCCGACTCCGCTTCTTCGCCTCGCCCTCCGTCAGCGTCCTCCTCCCCTCTCTTCCTTTTCTCTCTTCCCTCCTCTTATCTATCTACATACCTAGGCAGTCCCTGAGTTACAAACATCCAACTCACAGTTAAGAACAGGGCTGGACTGGATGGCCTTTGGGGGTCCCTTCCAGATCTAAGATACTATATCCATCTCACACATATACACATATACACACCCGCACACGAAAAAAAACAGACATCTTTACTAGGCTTGGGCAATCCATGGTTCTAAATGGTTCTAAAGTACTTACAAAACTAAAGTTCTGGTGGTGAAAATTTCAGAACTCTAACAAAACTTTCAAAATTTAATTATTATTTCATTATTGGTGATTTTAATGACAGAACCAATTAGGAACTGCCATTTATTATGAAATTTTGAGAGTTTTGTTAGAGTTCTGAAATTTTCACCACCAGAACTTTAGTTTTGTAAGTACTTTAGAACCATTTAGAACCATGGATTGCCCAAGCCTATTGTTTACAGCAGTTCCTGGATCTCCGGAGGCAGAAGAACGGGGCAACACCTCCTCCTCCTCCTCCTCCTGCTTCTCTTTCAACCTTTGGGGCCAAGCCAAGACCGTTGTTGCAGGGCGTACTCACCGTAGACCACCATGTAGTTCCCGATGACGGTGGCGGAGTGGAAGGCCCTCTCGCGGGGTCCGCGGTGGGAGTCCTTGGCCCGCAAGGTGCTCCAGTAGCGCAGGTCCACCTGGAACAGGTCCGTGGTGTTCACGCGCACGCTGAACCTGTGCCCGGGAAAAAGGTCCGGTGAGCCGAGTGGCCCTTCCCGTTCTCCCCTTCCCCTCGTTTACCTACACCTGCATTGCAGGTGCCACACGCTTTGGGTCAAGGCCATAGTGCACCCCACTTCCCCCTTGACCTTCTCTACAAACATTCCTTTTACTTTGACTATTTTGATAATCAAAACATGGGTAAAGTTTACAAAACTGCCAATACTTTGTCTTTGTGGGACGGACACCATACTAGAGCACATTTTGCTCGAGTGAAGTGTTTATCAACCTGGAGGTCGGGACCCCTGGGGAGATCATGGGGGGGGGGTGTTGGAAGGGTCACCAAAGCCCATCAGAAAACACAGTATTTTCTGTATTGTCGAAGGCTTTCATGGCTGGAATCACTAGGTTCTTGTGGGTTTTTCGGGCTATAGAGCCATGTTCTAGAGGCATTCTCTCCTGACATTTCGCCTGCATCTATGGCAAGCATGCTCAGAGGTTGTGAGGATGCTTGCCATAGATGCAGGCGAAACGTTAGGAGAAATGCCTCTAGAACATGGCTCTATAGCCCGAAAAAACCCACAAGAACCTACAGTATTTTCTGTTTTGGTCGTGGGAGTCCTGTGTGGGAAGTTTGGTACAATTCCATCGTTGATGAGGTTCGGATGAACTGTGAATCCCAGTGACTACAACTCCCAAATGTCAAGGTCTATTTCCCCCAAACTCCCTCTGTGTTCATATTTGGGTGTATTGAGTGCTTGTGCCAAGTTTGGTCCAGATCCATCATTGTTTGAGTCCACAGTGCTCTCTGGATGTAGGCGAACTACAACTCCCAAACTCAAGGTCAATGCCCACCAAACCCTTCCAATATTTTCTGTTGTGTGTGCCAAGTTTGGTTCAATTCCATTGTTGGTGGGGTTCAGAATGCTCTTTGGTTGTAGGTGAACTATAAATCCCAGCAACTACAACTCCCAAATGGCAAGAGTCTATTTTCCCCAAACTCCACCAGTGTTCACATTTGGGCATATTGAGGATTCGTGCCAAGTTTGGTCCAGGTCCGTCATTGTTTGAGTCCAGAACTGCACAATTAAACAGGAAGTGAGACTTCCAAACCAGGATCAGAACTGTTTTCAAGTTCTGTGCCATGCTGAGATACCTGGCGGTGGAGGGCCGGTGCCCGCCGTAGATGACCAGCGTCCGTGAGGGTGGGTGGAAGACCATGGAGTGGCCGGCCGCGGCTGGGGGTTTCCCACCGGAAGGGACCACCAGCTCCCAGGACCAGGACCGCAGGTGGAAGCGGAACATCTGCGAGGAGAAGACGTCCACCGAGGTGCGGCCTGGAAGGGAGGCAGAGAGTCGGAAGGGGCCCCCAAAGGCCATCCGGATCACCTCCATTCAACCCCTCCTGACCGATGGTCACCCAGCCTCTGCTTAAAGACACCCTGAGACAGAGACTCCACCTGACTCCAAGTCAGTCTCCCTTCCACTCGAGTTGGGAGGGACCCCCAGAGGTCATCTAGTCCACCCCATCCAATCCTTCCTGACCGATGGCCACTCAACCTCTGCTCCAAGACCCCCAGAGACAGAGGCTCCACTGGACTCCCAGAAGAGTCAGAAGGGGCCCCCAAAGGCCATCCGGATCACCCCATCCGATCCCTCCTAACCAATGGCCACACAGCCTCTGCTTAAAGACCCCCCAAGATGAAGGCAGTCTCCCTTCCACTCGAGTTGGGAGGGACCCCCAGAGGACATCTAGTCCACCTCCATTCAACCCCTCCTGACCGATGGTCACCCAGCCTCTGCTTAAAGACACCCTGAGACAGAGACTCCACCTGACTCCAAGTCAGTCTCCCTTCCACTCGAGTTGGGAGGGACCCCCAGAGGTCATCTAGTCCACCCCATCCAATCCTTCCTGACCGATGGCCACTCAACCTCTGCTCCAAGACCCCCAGAGACAGAGGCTCCACTGGACTCCCAGAAGAGTCAGAAGGGGCCCCCAAAGGCCATCCGGATCACCCCATCCGATCCCTCCTAACCAATGGCCACACAGCCTCTGCTTAAAGACCCCCCAAGATGAAGGCAGTCTCCCTTCCACTCGAGTTGGGAGGGACCCCCAGAGGACATCTAGTCCACCTCCATTCAACCCCTCCTGACCGATGGTCACCCAGCCTCTGCTTAAAGACACCCTGAGACAGAGACTCCACCTGACTCCAAGTCAGTCTCCCTTCCACTCGAGTTGGGAGGGACCCCCAGAGGTCATCTAGTCCACCCCATCCAATCCTTCCTGACCGATGGCCACTCAACCTCTGCTCCAAGACCCCCAGAGACAGAGGCTCCACTGGACTCCCAGAAGAGTCAGAAGGGGCCCCCAAAGGCCATCCGGATCACCCCATCCGATCCCTCCTAACCAATGGCCACACAGCCTCTGCTTAAAGACCCCCCAAGATGAAGGCAGTCTCCCTTCCACTCGAGTTGGGAGGGACCCCCAGAGGACATCTAGTCCACCTCCATTCAACCCCTCCTGACCGATGGTCACCCAGCCTCTGCTTAAAGACACCCTGAGACAGAGACTCCACCTGACTCCAAGTCAGTCTCCCTTCCACTCGAGTTGGGAGGGACCCCCAGAGGTCATCTAGTCCACCCCATCCAATCCTTCCTGACCGATGGCCACTCAACCTCTGCTCCAAGACCCCCAGAGACAGAGGCTCCACTGGACTCCCAGAAGAGTCAGAAGGGGCCCCCAAAGGCCATCCGGATCACCCCATCCGATCCCTCCTAACCAATGGCCACACAGCCTCTGCTTAAAGACCCCCCAAGATGAAGGCAGTCTCCCTTCCACTCGAGTTGGGAGGGACCCCCAGAGGACATCTAGTCCACCTCCATTCAACCCCTCCTGACCGATGGTCACCCAGCCTCTGCTTAAAGACACCCTGAGACAGAGACTCCACCTGACTCCAAGTCAGTCTCCCTTCCACTCGAGTTGGGAGGGACCCCCAGAGGTCATCTAGTCCACCCCATCCAATCCTTCCTGACCGATGGCCACTCAACCTCTGCTCCAAGACCCCCAGAGACAGAGACTCCACTGGACTCCCAGAAGAGTCAGAAGGGGCCCCCAAAGGCCATCCGGATCACCCCATCCGATCCCTCCTAACCAATGGCCACACAGCCTCTGCTTAAAGACCCCCCAAGATGAAGGCAGTCTCCCTTCCACTCGAGTTGGGAGGGACCCCCAGAGGACATCTAGTCCACCTCCATTCAACCCCTCCTGACCGATGGTCACCCAGCCTCTGCTTAAAGACACCCTGAGACAGAGACTCCACCTGACTCCAAGTCAGTCTCCCTTCCACTCGAGTTGGGAGGGACCCCCAGAGGTCATCTAGTCCACCCCATCCAATCCTTCCTGACCGATGGCCACTCAACCTCTGCTCCAAGACCCCCAGAGACAGAGACTCCACTGGACTCCCAGAAGAGTCAGAAGGGGCCCCCAAAGGCCATCCGGATCACCCCATCCGATCCCTCCTAACCAATGGCCACACAGCCTCTGCTTAAAGACCCCCCAAGATGAAGGCAGTCTCCCTTCCACTCGAGTTGGGAGGGACCCCCAGAGGACATCTAGTCCACCTCCATTCAACCCCTCCTGACCGATGGTCACCCAGCCTCTGCTTAAAGACACCCTGAGACAGAGACTCCACCTGACTCCAAGTCAGTCTCCCTTCCACTCGAGTTGGGAGGGACCCCCAGAGGTCATCTAGTCCACCCCATCCAATCCTTCCTGACCGATGGCCACTCAACCTCTGCTCCAAGACCCCCAGAGACAGAGGCTCCACTGGACTCCCAGAAGAGTCAGAAGGGGCCCCCAAAGGCCATCCGGATCACCCCATCCGATCCCTCCTAACCAATGGCCACACAGCCTCTGCTTAAAGACCCCCCAAGATGAAGGCAGTCTCCCTTCCACTCGAGTTGGGAGGGACCCCCAGAGGACATCTAGTCCACCTCCATTCAACCCCTCCTGACCGATGGTCACCCAGCCTCTGCTTAAAGACACCCTGAGACAGAGACTCCACCTGACTCCAAGTCAGTCTCCCTTCCACTCGAGTTGGGAGGGACCCCCAGAGGTCATCTAGTCCACCCCATCCAATCCTTCCTGACCGATGGCCACTCAACCTCTGCTCCAAGACCCCCAGAGACAGAGGCTCCACTGGACTCCCAGAAGAGTCAGAAGGGGCCCCCAAAGGCCATCCGGATCACCCCATCCGATCCCTCCTAACCAATGGCCACACAGCCTCTGCTTAAAGACCCCCCAAGATGAAGGCAGTCTCCCTTCCACTCGAGTTGGGAGGGACCCCCAGAGGACATCTAGTCCACCTCCATTCAACCCCTCCTGACCGATGGTCACCCAGCCTCTGCTTAAAGACACCCTGAGACAGAGACTCCACCTGACTCCAAGTCAGTCTCCCTTCCACTCGAGTTGGGAGGGACCCCCAGAGGTCATCTAGTCCACCCCATCCAATCCTTCCTGACCGATGGCCACTCAACCTCTGCTCCAAGACCCCCAGAGACAGAGGCTCCACTGGACTCCCAGAAGAGTCAGAAGGGGCCCCCAAAGGCCATCCGGATCACCCCATCCGATCCCTCCTAACCAATGGCCACACAGCCTCTGCTTAAAGACCCCCCAAGATGAAGGCAGTCTCCCTTCCACTCGAGTTGGGAGGGACCCCCAGAGGACATCTAGTCCACCTCCATTCAACCCCTCCTGACCGATGGTCACCCAGCCTCTGCTTAAAGACACCCTGAGACAGAGACTCCACCTGACTCCAAGTCAGTCTCCCTTCCACTCGAGTTGGGAGGGACCCCCAGAGGTCATCTAGTCCACCCCATCCAATCCTTCCTGACCGATGGCCACTCAACCTCTGCTCCAAGACCCCCAGAGACAGAGGCTCCACTGGACTCCCAGAAGAGTCAGAAGGGGCCCCCAAAGGCCATCCGGATCACCCCATCCGATCCCTCCTAACCAATGGCCACACAGCCTCTGCTTAAAGACCCCCCAAGATGAAGGCAGTCTCCCTTCCACTCGAGTTGGGAGGGACCCCCAGAGGACATCTAGTCCACCTCCATTCAACCCCTCCTGACCGATGGTCACCCAGCCTCTGCTTAAAGACACCCTGAGACAGAGACTCCACCTGACTCCAAGTCAGTCTCCCTTCCACTCGAGTTGGGAGGGACCCCCAGAGGTCATCTAGTCCACCCCATCCAATCCTTCCTGACCGATGGCCACTCAACCTCTGCTCCAAGACCCCCAGAGACAGAGGCTCCACTGGACTCCCAGAAGAGTCAGAAGGGGCCCCCAAAGGCCATCCGGATCACCCCATCCGATCCCTCCTAACCAATGGCCACACAGCCTCTGCTTAAAGACCCCCCAAGATGAAGGCAGTCTCCCTTCCACTCGAGTTGGGAGGGACCCCCAGAGGACATCTAGTCCACCTCCATTCAACCCCTCCTGACCGATGGTCACCCAGCCTCTGCTTAAAGACACCCTGAGACAGAGACTCCACCTGACTCCAAGTCAGTCTCCCTTCCACTCGAGTTGGGAGGGACCCCCAGAGGTCATCTAGTCCACCCCATCCAATCCTTCCTGACCGATGGCCACTCAACCTCTGCTCCAAGACCCCCAGAGACAGAGGCTCCACTGGACTCCCAGAAGAGTCAGAAGGGGCCCCCAAAGGCCATCCGGATCACCCCATCCGATCCCTCCTAACCAATGGCCACACAGCCTCTGCTTAAAGACCCCCCAAGATGAAGGCAGTCTCCCTTCCACTCGAGTTGGGAGGGACCCCCAGAGGACATCTAGTCCACCTCCATTCAACCCCTCCTGACCGATGGTCACCCAGCCTCTGCTTAAAGACACCCTGAGACAGAGACTCCACCTGACTCCAAGTCAGTCTCCCTTCCACTCGAGTTGGGAGGGACCCCCAGAGGTCATCTAGTCCACCCCATCCAATCCTTCCTGACCGATGGCCACTCAACCTCTGCTCCAAGACCCCCAGAGACAGAGACTCCACTGGACTCCCAGAAGAGTCAGAAGGGGCCCCCAAAGGCCATCCGGATCACCCCATCCGATCCCTCCTAACCAATGGCCACACAGCCTCTGCTTAAAGACCCCCCAAGATGAAGGCAGTCTCCCTTCCACTCGAGTTGGGAGGGACCCCCAGAGGACATCTAGTCCACCTCCATTCAACCCCTCCTGACCGATGGTCACCCAGCCTCTGCTTAAAGACACCCTGAGACAGAGACTCCACCTGACTCCAAGTCAGTCTCCCTTCCACTCGAGTTGGGAGGG